CATCCCTCCACTCTGTCCCTACCACATCTACATGTCTTTCCCCTCCATCCCCAAATAGTTATTTTAGGTTAACTCAATATTCATTATTTTACTAAAACAGCACCTTGTTCACTATAGAGCCAAATAGTGAATTAGAATTACATTTCCTCTCTTGTTGAGTTTTGTCTTTCCTGGAATAAATAACTGCCTTGTCTTTTCATTTGCTTAATTTTCTAAATATCTATTCTAACTTTTTTTTTTGCAACACGTTCTCAGATCTATAAGCTACCCACCAGTATTCTTTTCCAAATGGCCAAACGTATGAGATAAACTTTCAATTCCTTCCCCACGTCTCTGGTTTTGGTGTTCTAAGGGGAAGGAGAACAGAGGACCACCATAGAATAAGCAGATTAGTACCTAATCCCTGTTTGCAGCCCTGCCACTGTCCCTTGCCCACCACCACGCCTACTGTCCCCAAGGCTTTAACTTCCATGGTTCATTTTTCTAGAGAACAATGAAAAACCTCCATTCTCCTGCCTTGGCCAGGGGTGGTCATCTCTCTGCTCAGGGTGGGAAGGGTTTGTGGGTTGTCCCTGTGGGTTTATACCTTTTTTATTCCTTTACTTTCATTTTAGTGGGGCTTTGAGAAAAAGAGACCAACACATATGATTAATCTACTATGTTTAGAGACTCTACGATTATTTTTTAAGAAAGTAGATTAAAATTATATGTAAGTTTACATAGGAGATTGGCCTAGTAGTTGGAGGAAATTTTAACTTAATCTAACATGTGGTAAAGCAAAGGTCACAACTCAAACGCCTACAGGAACACCGGACCTAATAATAAATTAGTAAAGTACGTAAGCTTTTAAATGTGGGATTAAGGATGAGGTGACACCACCACCACTCCAAGGGAATTTCTGACATTACAGCCACAGGTGATGTTTGATGGCACTGTCACTTACAGTGAAGTGGGCTAGCCCCCTTTTCCCGTCCTAGCCATTACAATCAGCTCTGACAGATATAGAGTGCTAGGTAGGCAGAGTTACTGCAACCCTGTGGCTGACATTGGAGGTGTGAGTGAATTGGTGGAAGCGCCATCTGTCCTCCCTGGGCTTGGCCCCGCCCCCTCCACATGCACCTGGCTCACAGCAGATGCTGACACCCATCTCCTGAAAATGGGTGTTCTCTAAAATCCCTTCTAATCCTAAGATGTCACTTGGTCCCTTTTCTGGTCCAGGACAGGATTATAGTAAAAATGATGCAAACACCGGTCAATACCACAAGATAGCCATTTAAATGGGATGGCTGGAAAATGCATCCTGTTAGATACTTCAGTTACTAAGTTTCCTCCATGAGGCCCAAGGCAGACCAACCAGCTGAGACTAACATTTATTGGAATGTTTACAGAAATCTTGGCTTAAGACAAGATATTTAGTTATCCTCATGAACCTCTCTGTGAACAGGTCAGTTAGCAAGCCCTATATAATGTTATTAAATAAATATATCTCAAATCAAGATTTTCATGGCCCACAGAGACGAAGTAGAATGGAGAAAGGAAAGAAGCCATTTCTCCTGTCTGGGTACGTTCTGCTCAGGAGATGATACTGTTCCTGGTTACTCCGTCTAGTCCCGACCTATCAGTGATGTCCCTGTTTTCGCTTTCGCTCTAACCTCTCTTTAGAGCATTAGATCTGTTATTTCCAAGTATCCCCTCCCAATGAACATCTTTAAGGCAACAAGTCTAAAATGAAACATTTTCTCCTCCCTACCCACAGCTATGCCTTCTAGCATTAAATTCCTATAATATCTATAGTTAGCTTTTATTGTTTTAGTAACCATCTGAGTTTCTATCTGTATTGTAGCATATATAAAAAAGAATGAGACACAGTCCTGTCTAGTAGGGAGAAGACATGTGAAGATGTAAGTGCAATCTAACAAATGCTACATGGATGCGAAGGAGGGGACACCTTGCTCCATCCTGAGTCAGGGAAAATACCAGAGGATGGGACACTGGAGTTGAGTCTTTCATAGTGTTTTCGAGTAATGTCTTGTGTCTTCTCCTTAGCTCCTCAACTAGACAGTGTCAAGGCAAAATCCTTTTCTTTTTTTTTTTTTTGTCTTTTTTCGTGTCCGGCAACGGATCGCAACCCTCAGTGTTGCGCCCGTACTGGACCAGGACCGGCAACGGAATCGCAACCCTCGGTGTTGGGCCCGCACCTCGCTCAGCCAGTGAGCGGGAACCGGTCTGTATGTGGGATCCGAACCCTCAGCGGGAGCGCCACCGCACTCCCAAGCGGCGCACTGTAGCAGTCTGCCACCGGGCCGGCCCCAAAATCCTTTTCTTGTATGCTTACTTCCCACAATAATCAGGGCACTTAGTGTGAAGCAACCAGCAAATACTTGATAATGCTTGACTCAAAGAACAACCAAGTACCCAAATAATAGGCCAAAGGTGGATGTAGCCCATCCACCAGGGACCATGTGTTGCTCTCTACCTCCATGCTGAGCCTCTCTCTATGGCTGCCCTGAGAAAGTCTAAATGTAGTACATAATCTTTTTTTTTAATCCTCAGACAACTGTAGAGAAGGGACCATGTGTTGCTCTCTACCTCCATGCTGAGCCTCTCTCTATGGCTACCCTGAGAAAGTCTAAATGTAGTACATAATCTTTTTTTTTAATCCTCAGACAACTGTAGAGATAACTTCTACCAACCCTTTTCAGATTGTTAACGGTGGAGAGTCCTGCTACATCTGCATCACTATCACTGCAAATGCACAGCACATGCCATTTGCCCAATTCTAAGTACTTAATATGTGGTTCATACATTTAATGCTCACAGCAACCCTATGTGATGGGCACTATGTTTACCTTCGTTTTACAGATAAGGAAAGGCATGACAGGCAAAGTGACTTGCTCAAGGTCAGAGAACTAGGTAAGTGTTGGCTAGGCTCCAGAATCTATGCTCTCAGCCATCCCACTCATCCTTCTGATTTGGGGTAGTAGTCTCACCACATCCATCTTTTGCACTCTGGGATGTTTAAATAATAAGTTGGTGTATTTGCAAAAACGGGAACAGAGTGCTCACCAAACTACCATTTATTTAGCTTTGCTCCCTCCCATGCAAGACCAAGCTGATCTCTAAACAAGCATCAAAACCCCAAGCTCATTAACACCAGTGTGAGATTCAATAAGGTGAACACTACAGTGATGTACAATTACATTCTAATAATTCAATGCCCAGGAGTCCTATAAAACAATTGCAAAGGCCCAGGATTATCACAATATGCAAATGCACTAGGAAAATCATTACCTATTTAGTCCCCTTCATTTTGGTGGGTTTAACATGAGAAGAATAATCCATGCTACAAGACGAAATTTCATTTTACAGCTGTAGTAACCAAGTACATAAAAGCTTGAATCTGTCCCAATAGCTTCTAAAAGATTTTTCCCAGTGTCAAAGGCAAAAATAATGAAATCTTGCAAATGTACAGTTAATAGGACCCCAGTGGACACTAACTTCAAAAATGCATGGTCTATAAGACATTAAAGGCTTGATTTTAGTTTCTTCACTGTTTCTGTTAATAACAATGTCTAATTAAAACATCTGTAAAATACTGATAGTTTTAATTTTACATAAAATTTCCAAAACAACTGTTACACAGTATAATAGGTATCTGCAATGAATAGGTTATTAATGGAAATATTATTTTAAATTAAAATCAGGATCTAAATTTAAATTAGTCATCTCTGGCTAATGAAGAGAAAAAGAAGTCACCCGTGCTGGGAATACAGCAGAAAAATCTAGTTTTCACCATCTGTTAAAGCACATTCACTGTATCACTTGGGCTAAAGGACAATTCATTTTGCCGCTTCTGTCTTATACCCAGTCTAATGCACCTTTCAACAAATTACTTTATAATTTTAAAACTACCATTCAACCTTATTCACAATCTGAATTCCCCCCTCCTACTTTACCGGTGAGGACATTCGCAGAGACCACTATTCCTTGCAGTAGCTTCTCCCTCCCAGGCCTGCCTAAACTGATGAATATTTTAAAAGGAATGGCGCAAATCTCAGCTTTCCCTTTCTTTGGGTCTCATCTTCTTTTACAAAATAAAACAAAAGGGATTAGCAACGCTTAGTGCCTGGCTGTAATTCAATACCTTTCTTTCTAATTAATGCACAATAAAAGAGGATTAAGACATGATCAGCACTGAGTGGCATGTGTCTCCTGATGCTGGCATTGAGTTGGTAAGGGATTCATTCCAGACAATGAAAAGCCGCGTTTCAAGTTGCTTCAGATTTATATAATGGTTCACAGTAGATGCTGCAGAATGTGGTCCACAGCATGAGGGAAGCTCTCACAAGTTAAGTAAGGAGGTGGACTGACTTTTTCTTCATCTGATGCTCGATATTTCCCTGAAACAAAAGGAAAGCCAGTGAACAAAGCATGTTGGGCAGGAAAGTTAAAAGCACACCTGCAATTGATTGGGTTCAGTTGGTTTTGGATCAATGATGGTTCATGTAGGATAAAACTGAAGTCCTTGGGCAACTATAATAATTTTAAAAAGTGCATTAATCTATTTCACTAAAACACTGCCCACTGCCTTGAGCAGTAGAATCCCTTTTTCATATCAGCAGATATGTTGTCTGCTAGAATGCTAAATGTTTAACACCTGCAAGCGCCTGGCCCATCACAGAACAACCTTTACAATTACTAGAGAATCAGGGGCTCCACAGCTCCCAAAGCACCTTTTAATGAGGAAATTCAAAGAAATGTCACATTCAGCATTTTCCCAGGCCCTGTGGTCTTTCGCAACGGACAGTCACAGGTACTGGATCAGCTGACAGCTAAGCCTCCCTTCGAATCTCCACAGTTGATGAAATCACTTTCTTCTCCGCACCCCCAGCCCTGAAGATAGATGGTGATTAAATCAATGCTTTAAAATGGAAGCCCAGGCCCCAGAGGGCAGAGACCTCGTCAGCTTAGAATGCTAAATGTTTAACACCTGCAAGCGCCTGGCCCATCACAGAACAACCTTTACAATTACTAGAGAATCAGGGGCTCCACAGCTCCCAAAGCACCTTTTAATGAGGAAATTCAAAGAAATGTCACATTCAGCATTTTCCCAGGCCCTGTGGTCTTTCGCAACGGACAGTCACAGGTACTGGATCAGCTGACAGCTAAGCCTCCCTTCGAATCTCCACAGTTGATGAAATCACTTTCTTCTCCGCACCCCCAGCCCTGAAGATAGATGGTGATTAAATCAATGCTTTAAAATGGAAGCCCAGGCCCCAGAGGGCAGAGACCTCGTCAGCTCCTGCAGGCAGGTGGGAACAGCATGTGCTGCCACCAAGCAGGGACCTTGAGAGGTTGGCAAATGACTGAGAGCCTGGCAAATGAGAGTGCCTGAGGGTGGGTGGGGAAAGAGTGATGGATGCTCACAGGCCTGAAGCCAGGCAGGACACTGTCTGACTCTGAATCTGGAATTCAAGACAGCCTGCTGTTCCTAGGGCCTAGCACACAATTTAACACCCCAACGTAGCAGAGGAACCATTACACACAGTGGTCACAGAGAGCTTTGACAAACGTAAATCGACAATGCATGATCCCTATTTAAATACCCTTAATTGGTCCCAATGCCCTTCAGAAAGAATCCAAAATCTCTATTGTTGCCTACCAGGCCCTTTGTCACCTGGCCCCAGTGACTAACTTTAGCATGTGCTACTTGCTCACCAGGCTGCAGTCCGAGACCGGACCCTGGCTCTGCTGAGGACCTTTACACCTGCCATCATGCCCTTGGCCTGGAACATTCTTTTCACCTGACTATCTCCTTAACACTTCAGGTCAGACCCCACCTTCCCATCCAAATTAGATCCCTTCCCTGTTATTTCCTCCCCTAGCGCACTGTTCTTTGCCTCCACAACAGTTACAACAATTTGTAATTATGCATTCATTTGTTTAATGTCTGTCTTACGTCAAGAACACTGTAAGTGCTCTGAGAGCAGGGACTACGTCTGTTACATGCCCCATTGTATTCCCAGAAGTTAACATAATGACTAGTACATGGTAAGCACACATAAACTTTCTTTTTTAATTAATGGAAAGAAGGGAGTGAGGAAGGGAGGGAGGGAGGAAGGAAATGCAGAATACTGCTCCAGCGGAGGCCCCAGGGGAACAAGGCCACCTGCCCTGCAGCTCTGCACTTTGCCTTCTCCTTGCTCTCTCATCACTTTTTCTGTGATCTCTGCTGTTTATTCTTCTGCTTTTTCCAGTTTTCTCTGCCTAAGTCCAGCTCCCCAACAAAAGACTCCACCGTTTTCTCCAACCATGTCTTTAAGAGGCTTTGCCCAACAAACTCAAAGCCTGTAAACCCCACTTCTCCACACCTTAGCATTGTGGTGGTGAAGATGCTTCCTGTCTTGTCTTACTGACTATAAATTCTTACAGGAGAAACCAGCATCAAGTGTACAGAGGTAATTAATATCTACCTCACTCACCTTAGCATGCTCAAGGCACTTGTCCACAACAGTATGGTCTACGCAGCAAGCTCTACTGCCAGTTTTTTCCTCAAGCTTAAATCCCACTAAGTATAAACTCCTTTGCAAGGTTTCTACTTGGTCTCACAGGTAAGTTAATGACTGACTATTGTTGTACCACCTACTTCCTGGATCCAGTGGTCTTGAAGCCTTTCCAGGCCTGGAAGTTGGCGTTAAGGGCTTCTAGAATGCTTTTGCTTAGTCTGGCTCTGCAAGTGGAGTTTCTACAAAGCACAAACTGACAGAAGTGGCTTAGGTGTACGATTTAGTTCTATCACCTAGCACTGTGCCTCGTACACAGTAGGTGCTCAATAAAGTCAGCTGGGTGAATGAAGCCACCTACATGACTTCTACCCAACTCCCTCACTGCAGCAGCCTATGCTTTCCTGGATAAATGGTGAATGGAGGGGAATACAGGATGTTATGTGATGCCATAAGACAAAGAGCAATCCCATTTTTTTCTAGATGACTGTTTCACATGCTAAACAAATCAATTCTGGTTAGGACTAGTCAAAATCTTTACTAACTACTAACTGACAAAATGTATATTGAGCATCTACTATGTGCACTGAGAAACAAAATTGCTCAAGACTATCCACAGAAAACACTTATTATTGAACATGAATTAAAACATTTATGGTAATTTTCAACACTGGAAAGATTAGTGCTTGTCCATCACACCGATTTATTTATTTAAAATTTATCAATGGAGCTGGCTGTTCTGTATGCTTTTAGAACAGTGGGCGTACTTAAGTTTTTCTGACAAAAGACTGATGGTACCAATGGACCTGTTTTCATGAGCTGGATTTAGCTGCTTTAGTAGTTCCACATTTTAGATTTGATTGTGATATGCTGTTGGCTTCTCTAAGACTAACTTGATGCTTCTGTGATAGGCTGGTCAGAAAAGAAGTCGGAACCAGTGGAGACCAGCCGGGAGAGGTGGTTTCAAGACACTGGCATAGGTCTAGTTTTGATGTTCAGTGTAAATGTTAATTATGTGAACTAAAGAAATGTTCACGGGAATAATACACAATAGCAAAAATAGCTATTTGAGGGCCGGCCCGGTGGCGCACTGCTACAGTGCGCCGCTTGGGAGCAAGGCGACGCTCCCGCCGAGGGTTCGGATCCCACATACAGACCGGTTCCCGCTCACTGGCTGAGCGAGGTGCGGGGGCAACACCGAGGGTTGCGATCCCATTGCCGGTCGCGGTCCGGTACGGGGACGACACTGAGGGTTGCGATCCGTTGCCGGACACGGAAAAAGACAAAAAAAAAAAAAAAAAAAAAA